TATTGGTCAGAGTATTTTGTCACAGCAATGAAGAGCAAACTAGGACAGTAACACATGTGTTTTCTGTAGACAGCCATCTCTCTGCCCCAAACAATACTCAACCATAATGAGGAGAGATTTCTAAAGCAAGTAGAATATTTCCTCTTAAAACCAGTGGAAATGTGTGCTTATCAGACTCACGGGCATCTCAGGACAGTTTACATGTGTTCTTGATTTATCTTAAAGACTTTGCCACGTTTCATGTGACTGTTCAGGATTCAGGTGAGCTCACTGGTCTTTAAGACAATCAGCAGGGATCTATGAGTCTAGTCTGAGAAACTTCATGAGACATTTTAAGTTGCCCAGCTTGTTCTAGAAAAATCCACTGTGATTAATGAACGTGGCCCGAAGCAAAAACTAGTTCATTTACAAAGAGTTCCCCTGGCTACCAATTGGTCTGGTGGGCTTTCTCAAAGTCCAGGAAGTTATTTGCAAACATTCAGAATGAAATGAGCAACATCAATGACAAACAGATCTCCAACAATCAACCTAACAGATGGCCAGTGTTTGGGAAGCCTTTAGAATTTCAGAGCTGTCCTTTGGTAACCATAGAGGAAATTTTAAGGGACAAAAAATATTTTCCACTAGGAGAGGATTTGCTTATTCTGGTCAACCTTATTGGGGAAATTGGCTATGCTTGTTCTGAGTGTTTCAAATGCAGCTATGAAACTGGCTTACTTTGCCACATGTACATATATGAACACTAATGAGCACACTAATAACTGTCATGTACTGAGCATGCCCTGTGCCCCAAGAACTGGACGAGATTTCTAAATATACAAAAATATATTCTTATTTTTTAATTATTTCTATGTGTGTGTCTGTGTTGGTGTGTGGGTGTGTGCATGTGAGTGCAGGTCCCTGTGGAGGTTAAAAGAGGGTGTCAGGTCTCCTGGAGCTGGAGTTACAAGTGGTGTGAGTTGCCTGATGTGGGTGCTGAGAACCAAACTTGAGTCCTCTGGAAGAGCAGTACATGCTCTTAAACACTGATGCATCTGTCCGGCCACAGTATTTAAATTCCATATGTTTAGCCCCTTGCAGAAGCTCTGGGACACTGACACGTGAAGCCACGTGACGTCAGTGGTATGCTTTCTCAGAATCCCCACAGTGGCACCAACCTTGCCCATCCTTCCAAGACAGCATGCCTTCCCTGTGGATACAGGGCAACAAAAGCTACTGGAAATCATCTCCCCTTGGTTTGTGAAATGTGGGAACAAGGCAAAACAGGTAATATCAGGAGGAAATGAGGAAATGGGAGAAGGGCTCTGGATGTGGCACACACTGCTCCACCCCTCTCCTGTCCACACTTTCTAGCACACACAGTTGGCACACTTCGGCCAATGAGAGATGAACTGAACACATGGATAATTGCTGCTTTAAGGACAGCAATTAGAATGAGCAGATCTCAGCAACTCCTTCTCATCTCTGTGACTCAAAATGCAAATAACTTCCAGTACAGGAATTCTGGAGTGACTGTTACATTGACCTAGTCAGGACAGAATTCAAGGACTTTCTGGAGCTGGAAGGGAGGCTACAGAGCCTCCTGGACACTTCAGTCTCTGATTTCAGAAAGGGGAAAGCTGAAACCCACAGAGGTTAAGTGACTCATCCTAGGAAATTAGTTCAAATACGACCAATTAAACAGCCAGTCTGAGCTACAGAGGATGTGGAGGCACAGGCAAGAAAGCTGTTTGCCTTACAGTGCTGTGGACTGGCTATTTGTAAGATGTGACGTAGAGAAAGGTATTTAAATGGAGGCTCAGTTTTCCAACTATAAAATGGGAATAAAGACGCACACTTTACTAGTTGTAGTGTATGGCACAGGCAAGAAAGCTGTTTGCCTTACAGTGCTGTGGACTGGCTATTTGTAAGATGTGACTTAGAGAAAGATATTTAAATGGAGGTTCTGTTTTCCAACGATAAAATGGGAATAAAGATGCACACTTTGCTAGTTGTAGTGTATGTCATATTAAAAAGCCACAGATGCTTGGAGGCACTCAATAGATGACACATACATGGGGGGGCGGATTCCTCTTGAGGATACTGCCATGTTCCTTACAGTGGGATTTGTATTTGGGGAAATTCTTCCAGCTTCCATTATCAGTGTGGAAAGGTAACAATCATGGCATCTCCTTTAGTGTTTTAGTAACTAAAAGAAAGATTTGTTTTGGTAAAAGGACTTCTTCCTGAGTAGTATAAGATATTCCGGGCGGATTCCTCTTGAGGATACTGCCATGTTCCTTACAGTGGGATTTGTATTTGGGGAAATTCTTCCAGCTTCCATTATCAGTGTGGAAAGGTAACAATCATGGCATCTCCTTTAGTGTTTTAGTAACTAAAAGAAAGATTTGTTTTGGTAAAAGGACTTCTTCCTGAGTAGTATAAGATATTCCTCTTTGGTAAAAGGTATCATCTGGGCTGGGGAGCCCCAGTGGGTAAATGTAAGCAACGGAGTTCAGATTGCCCGGATGTGTCAAAAGTAGAAGTTTGGTAACACATGTTATAGCAGAACCCCAATGGGGGGCGGGGGAGATGGGTATACAGCATTCACTAACCAGATAGTCTAGCCCTAATCTGTGAGCTCCATGTTCAGTAAGAGACTCTGCTTCAAAAAAATCTGTAGAGAGCGATAGAGGACACCCAACATCAACTTCTGGTCTGTACACACACACTCAGCACTCAGTACTCACACTCAGACACACAAGTATAAATCAATCTCTATGTCTGTCTCTCTCTGTGTTCACACCCATACACACACAAGATCTTTCTCCCTGTCTCTGTCTCTCTGTCTCTGTCTCTCTCTGGTTCTCCTCTCTCTCTCTCACACACACCACACTCACATTTGAACACACAAGCATAAATCTATCTTTCTGTCTCTCTCTGTATCATGGCACTCATACCTAGACACAGAAGCATAAATCCCTCTGTGTCTCCATGTCTCTCTGTGAATCTCTGTCTGTCTCTGTCTCTCTATGCCTCTATCTATTTCCCCTGTCTCTGTCTCAGCACTCACACTTCGACACACAAGCACCTCTCTCTCTCCCTCTCTCTCTCTCTCCCTCCCTCCCTCCGTCCCTCCCTCTCTTGGTATCTCCTGCTCTTCTAAGTCCTGTAGGCATTGGAACAGGGCCCTGGCCTCTGCTGAAGCAGCAGCCCTGGCCGGAGAATCACCTTCTTAATCTCCACTTCTCCAGCAAAATCCTAACCTTTAAATGTAAAGGCCAGCATCATTACACAATCATACTTTCCCATTTAGGCACAGTATAATATAATGTCACAGCAAATTTCCTGGCAGTGGTAAATTTCTGCTGAATATACCAAATACAAAATGAACTTAGTTCGTTTTTTTTTTTTTACCTTTTGCAACTGCTCAAAAATATATGAGAGTGTCCGTGGGATGATGCCTCTGTCGTCGTAGCGCTCGGCACCACCTGTGATGGTGAATGTCTTACCGCTGCCTGTCTGCCCATATGCGAAGATGGTAGCATTGTAGCCAGCCAACACACTGCAAGAAAGCAAGGGTACCTTCAGGAGTCAAACCAAGACCCGCACTGCTCCTGGGTGGCTCAGAATCTAATCATCGTCTTATTAAATACTAATGAAAATTTAGGGAAATGTCTACAAAATATTTACCTATGTGACAATATTTCCTAGAATTTATTTTTCATGTGTGTATGTGTTCATATGTACATACACCTGTGTGCCCAGTATATGGAGGTCAAGTCAATGCTGAGCGTCCTCCTCAATCACTCACCATCTTATTTATTTCTATTTTTATTTTTATTTTTTGTGTGAATAAATGTTTTGCCTGTATGTATGTAAGTCCACCCATGCATGCAATGCCTGCAGAGACCAGAAGAGGATGACGGATCCCTGAGAACTGGAGTCATGGATGGTTGGAGTTAGCTGCCCTGGGGTGCTGGGAATTGAACCTGGGTCCTCTGCAAGAGCAGCCAATGTTCTTAACCATTGAACCATCTCTCCAGCTCCACTTTCCATCTTATTTTTTGAGACAGGGTCTCTCACTGAGCCTGGAGCTTCCTGATTGAGTAAGACTTGGCCATCAAGCCCCAGGGATCATCCTGTCACTACCTCCCCAGTCCTGGGCTTACAGGTGCATGCTGCTGAGCCCAGCTTTTACATAGATGCTTGGGATCTGAACTAAGGTCCTCATGCTTGTGTGGCAAACACTTTATCCACTGAACCATCTCCCTAGCCCTTAGGATTCACCTTTAATCCAGCAATATCAACACATCCATAAATTTCT